AGAGAGGTTCCATAACTTTGAGGCTTATGTATTGTTCCCGTCATTGTACATTGCAGGGAGTCAATTTAACTTCCCTCCAGCTGTAGTTTGGGGGGGGCTCACGTATTGCCAGAGAGGTTCCATAACTTTGAGGCCTTGTATCTTTCTCAGGCACCTTATACAGGAGTTCACAGGGGCCAACAGCTCAGCAAATGCAGCTAGTGGGATCTTTTCCTATATTTTCAGTAGAAAAGTCTTAAGGAAAACTGTGATTGGCCCAGATGGGTCATATGCCTGTTGAAAGGCCAATCAGTGTGGGCATGTCGAGGTCACATGACTTCCTCCTTCCTGCAGATAGAAGCAGGCAAGCAAAACCCACTGCAGTGCATCCTGCCCACTTGTGGAATAGAAGTTTCAGTATACAAAGGGGTGTGAATGCAGATGCTGCCACGTGGTAGGAACACAGTTTACCATGGTGGTTTTTCATTGAAGTTCTGGAGGTGAAACTTCTGAATAGTTCTCCATCTGCATATTGAAAGTCCCGTTATTAAAGTCTTTTTTTTTTTTTTTTTTTTTTTGGTACCGGGGATGAACTCAGGTCCTTGAGCTTGCGAGGGAGGCGGCGGAACCACTGAGCTAAATCCCTGGCCCTTGAAAGTCCTTTATTGCTGGACACAGTGGCACTTTCTCTAGTCCCGGCTGCTTGGGAGGCTGAGGCAGGAGGATAGCTTGAGCCTAGGAGTCGAGTCCTTTACAAATGTGACCCTTGCCTCAATACACCAGCTCGGTGACGTCCAGTCTCCTCTGCTTTATCCACATCGTCCTTCACCGAGCTTGGGAGGTGGACATGAGCAGTCAGTCTTGAGGGGCTCAGACATGTCTTGTGCTACAGCACGGCACTCCACGAACAGGTCCTGAGCATCTCTGTCGACACAGGGACTCCGTTTCCCTAGGGGGAATTCCAGGCCCTCTGGTGTCCCTCTTCATCCAGATCAAGAGAACAGGTTCTGCAGAGTTAGAGAAAGACCTTTATGGTTCATGACATCATCCAGAAAATTCTGAAAACCCCAGGTAAATGCGTAGCGGACACGCCTTTCTGCAGCCTGCTTCTGATTGGAGCAGCCCGGGAACTCCCTGCCAATCAGCAGCCACCCGGTGCAACCTGGAACTTTATAGCTTAGCAACAAGAAATCTGGAGGAACTCTGGAATTAATTTAAGGAAAGGGGAAGAAAAACACTAAGAAAGGAATTAGCAGCCAAGTAATCAGGCCGCGGGTTTTTATTATTACCTTTGTAAGCAAGACAAATAATGAACATTTTCAGCGTTATCAGCAGGGCAGGAACTAGTGAGCTATGTATGCGTACTCAAAACTCTGAGGGTAATGTTTTCTTCCTAAGCCATTGCTGGGCTAGGCATGTGAACAGAGCTAAGAGGGAGCAGGCAGAACAAGGACAGTAATTAAGGAAAACCCACCTGGATTCTGGGCGCCACCCTTACTGCTCCGGGAGCCTCCTGCCAACCTTTCCCCAAATCCCCCTCCCTCCGGGACATGGAGAAGACCTGCCCGTCTGAAAAGGGAGCAGGAGGTCCCAGGGGCTGTGGAGGGTTTGTGATCTCAGATGGAAGCCTAGCTGGAGGTGACGGTGACAGTGACATTTGTGGGACCATCCTATGATCTGAGGATCCTTCAACGTGCTCCCAGGGTCACCTTTGCCACCAGGGGCTGCCAGTGTAGCCAGGGCTGGGGAGACAGGATATTATAATCAGTTCATTAGACCCAGAGGAGATGAGGTGACGGTTGTGCTGACACAGTCGGAGAGGAGGGACCGTGGGGAAGGGAGGCTGTCATTAGTACGTCTCGGTTTATCCTGGCTTCGCTCGGAATTTGTAGGAATAGGGCGGCTTCACAAGGGAGGCTGGGCCAGGGCCAGGGAACAAGCCCCCTCAGGTCTCCTGGGCCTGCACAAATCATCCTAAAGCGATGGGGAAACGAGAACCCAAGGGGGTTTGTAAACTAAAGCAGGGTGATTAGGTTTACTGTTTGCAAGAACGGTTGCCTGCTGGCATGGGACAGAAGGGAGGGCTGATGGGTAACGGGCCACTGTGCAGGCCACCGAGGTGCCACACGGGCAATGCCTCCAGGGACCAGGCATGAAGCCCCACAACTCATCCAGCCCCACCAGAGCCTTGTTTCTTGGAAAACATCCACTTTGACACCCAAAGTCTGTGCGGAGTGTAACTGAAGCCACACCCATCCCACAGGAAGGTGGCCCCACACCTTCCAGCTTTAGCCCCCCTAAGTCCTCAATCGCATGAGTCCCTCAGGCCCAGGGAAGCTGGTGTGGTTGGCTCCCCTCCTACTCTGGGACAGGATTAAAAGGTGTAGTAAGAGCCAGCTTCCCCACTGCATCCCTGTACTTTCCTTCCGAAGAGTCACAATTCACTGTGTTGCCTCAGGCCTCTCTGGGCTACTTTTCTTCATTTGCAAAGTAAAGTTGGACCTGGGGAGATTTTAACCTCCTTGAACTATGCTGTCCTCCCATTGCTGTGTTTTAAAGCTTAAGCAGTGACCAAAGCCTGGGCACAGAAGGTGGGGGGGGGGCTTGTGCAAGCTTCCTCTGCTCTCCACACCTGGCACCCTCCTCCCCAGATGAGAGGGACTGTCCTTACCTTCCGGAACCGGAACCCTGAACGAGCGCTAAGTATTCTGCACCATTTCCACTGCTAGACACTCAGCGGTCAGAAAGCATGGCAGTTCTGGCTTGAGGAAAGAAGGATTGGGAGTTATGTGTCTCCGATGTAGTGATGGCCAGTTCTTCTAAAAGCGTGAACAACCACGCTTGCCTCTCCAATTTTACAGTGCGTACATCATCACAGCACTTGCACTCTCCAGAGATCACCCTTCACCACCAACAGGCTAGTTCCATGAAGTGGAGACTGGGTCCTTTTTGCCACTACTCCTCCCATAATAACGATGTATTGAGTGTCTTGAGGTCCAGTTATACCTCAAGGAAACAGGCACACGGAGGTTCAAATGCTTCTAAGTCAGAATTTGAACCTGGATCTGATTCAGGGTCTGTTCTCTCCACCAGTGGGTCACTGCTTCTTTGGAATCCTCACAGGGCGGACAAGAATGAGGGGGACGGTGTACAGAGAGGCTGCTCTGCTGTGGGGGGGTCCCTGTGAAAATCCATCCAGGGTGTTCCAAAAGGAGCAACTCAGTGCATCTTGGCACAGCACTGGCAGCCTGGCCTGGCCTGGCCTGACCTTAGTGTGGATGGAGACTTCTGGATGTTGGTTGCCACGGAGATGGGATGGGATGCTTGAAGATGTCACCCAAGCCTGCTCCTGAGGCTGGTCTCAAAGATGCTAGGCTAGCAGTGGGGTGGACAGACCAACCCGATGCTATCAAGACAAGGGCAGGGGAAGCCTGGTTTTCCCTTCTTTTTAATTAGGAAGAGCTTCAAGCACACACAGGAATAGAGCGTGAGGTACTACAGAGCCAGGTACTACAGTCCCTAAGCCTGGGCCAGTCTTGTTCCATGGTACTTCCTTCTTCCCCTTCGTAAGGAAATCCAGATACCAATCATTTCTTTGGCAAATATTTCCAAAGATTGCTCCCAAGAAAAAAGTAGTCTTACCGTGTTTTTGTTTTGTTTTGTTTGAGACACGGTCTTTCTTAGTTGCCAGGGGTAGGCTCAGATCTGAGACTCACATGTCTCAGCTTCCTTAGAGGTGTGTGCCACCATGCCCAGCTAAGAATTAGTGGTGGTGCTGTTGTTGTTTTATTACCCTTACCACTATTAAAATTAACAGGAAAGCTTTTAATATCAGCAAACACTGTATCTGGTCAGCATTTAGATTTATTTGGCTTTCTTGTAAATGTTTTTTCCCAGCTGGGTAAGGTCAGGATGCAGATGAAGCTCATATGTTGTGATCAGTCTGTGTGTCTATTCCTCCCCTCTCCCCTTCATTTGTAGGTTCTTCCATCTTTGCTTTTTCTTTCCCTGCAATGGACTGGAGAAACAGGGTTGGGCGCCCTGTGGTGTGTCCCATCCAGTGGAGGATTTTGCCTGCTGCTTCCTCCTAAAGGCATTACACCTGCCCCTCTCCCTTGTATTTCTTGCAAATTGCTAGTTCAGTCGGGAAGCTCACAAAGGTGCATTTGTTTGTACGACTGCTTCCTTGTGGCTGATTTGGACACCCAGACCTCGTTTTCCTTGGCAATATTAGCTGCTGTGGATCACTGTCCAGACCTGTCAGTCCCCTCGAGACTAAAAGCCAGCAGCAGCACCTTGATCTCTCACTGTCTTGGTGAGCGGGGATGCTTCTGTAAAGAGCATTTGTGTATCCATCACTTGGCTTCCACAGAGTATGGGTCGTACCAAAAAGGACAAATGCTAGGTTATTTACCTTTGACAGTTTCCAAAATACAGATGTGGTGATGAGTAAGTTTATGTTTTTCTTTTGCTCTAGCATCATGGTGAACTCATCATTTGAACATGAAGTTGAACTGTTTAATATACTGTATTTATTATTATTATTGGGTTTGCCTTACTAGGGGTTGAACCTAGGGCCTTTGCATTGAGCTACATGTCTAGGCCTTTTTAAAGTTTTTTTTTTTATTTTGAGTCAGAACCTTGAGAAGTTGCTAAATTACTTGGGGTTGAACCTAGGGCCTTTGCATTGAGCTACATGTCTAGGCCTTTTTAAAGTTTTTTTTTTTTTATTTTGAGTCAGAACCTTGAGAAGTTGCTAAATTACCTAGGCTGGGCTCAGACGCAATCTTCCTGCCTCAGCCTCCCAGAGCACTATACCTAGCTGCAGTTATTCCTAATAATGCTCAATCCGTCATCTTGGCCAATGAGAACCTCTTCATGTTGTCTCCTGTATCCTTTTGGATGCGACTCCAGTTGTTGAAATAGCTTTCTTGGCTTCCTGATGACGAGACAGTCCCAGCTCGGCTGGGCATGGTGGTGCTTGCCTGTAAATCCCAGCACTCAGGAGCAGGAGGCAGGAAGACTGCTATGAATTTGAGGCCATCCTGGGCTGCAGAGTCAGTTTAAAGCCAGCCTGAACTACAAAGGAAGGAAGACCCTGGCTGAAAAACCAACCAAGCAAACAAAAAAAGATATCCCAGGCTCACTGGAACATTTCTTGGCTCAGATCTGGAATTGGCCATTTGCCCAGGGAGCCCTGAATGCTGAGAGAGATGCTAACCTGGTGCTGGGTCCTCACTGTGACTGGTCGCGGTCTCTAACCTCAGTGGACAGAGCCTGTGACCCCATGCTCCATGGTATTAAGTGAGAGAGCGCCTGTGTTCCTCCTGATCCTGCTAATTGATTTGGAGCTTACAGGCTTTCACCTCATCTCCATGACCACACCTTCTCCCGTAACACCGTTCCGTGACTGCAGTCCCAGCACTTGGAAGACTGAGGCAGGAGGATCACCATGAGTTCATGGCCAGCCTGAGCTACTCAGTGAGACCTTATCCCAAACAAAACAAAACACCCCCCCAAAGATCCAGGTAACTCTAATGTGCAGCCGGGATGAGGGTGCCTGGTGAAAGAGAAAGAAATAAAGCAGTGGCAGACAGGCTTCACTGCCAAGGCCCATCACCTAGGGCTTTTAATTCTGGAGCTACCCATTTCTTGCCATGAAATCTCTGGATCTGTAGAACCGACCTCAGGGCAACAGATCGATAATCATCGAAATGAGTTCTGGGTGCACCAACCAACATAGTAACCACTAGTCCCACAGTCTGGCAGGGTAGCACTTGAACCCACGGCTCGTGCACCCCTAAGGGTACATTTTCAGGTACAATCAACTTGATCTACTTGGTGCAGAGTCACAGGTGGCTCAGATGACACTCAGAAAATGCCGCCGTGCCTCACGGCTTCACATGTAAAACGGAAGAGTGAAGGTTATTTCTCTGGGCAATGGAGATCAGAGAGAATGTACACAAACCACCTGCTGTACACACGGCACTCTGCAAAATGCTGCTCCTTTTCTTTATTAACATCAACCTGCCACTCTTTAAAACAAACCAAGAAAAAGCTCACCTGGAACATGAGTGCCCAAAAGCACCCCTACCCAGAGGCTGCAAATTCCAGGCTTCCGGAGAAACTCCGGGAAAACATCCCTTCATTGCAGAAGGTCCGATTGCAGTAGGAGGTGATCAGTTACAAGGGCTGTATTTCCTTACAGATCTAGCCGCAGCTCAATAAATTAAGCAATCACTCAAAATAACATGTTGCCTTAATCCCCTCCCTTGGAAGAGTTTCAAGTTGTTTGGTTTTGTGCTCGCGCAGCCCTGAGAGCCGACTCCCGCTGTCCTGTCGCTCTTCCCTCAGTTCATCAGCAGCTCTCTGGAAACAGCTCTGCAGTCTCCTGACTGGCAGCAGGGAGGGTGCCAAGCCAAGCTGGCCTCTTTTTTCTTTTTCTTAATCAAAACTGGGGCCTTTTGCATCCTCTGGCCTTGACGCGGTCCATCCACATTTCATTCACCAAAATTTCTGGCAGATCTCTACAATTGAGACAGAAAGAGAACCTTCAGCCCTCCGTGCTGGGCACGGGAAAGCGGACTCTGGGCGGGTTCTCCATTCCTGCTTTCTCTCTAGTGGTTTATAATCACACAGTTGAATTTTGTTTCCCCTAGAAACTTGGCATCAGAGGTGTCAGCCTGGGAACATATTTGTTTGTGTAAATTAAAAAGAAGAATATGTTTTGACCACATTTAAGTTCTAACTGCGCTAAAGAAATAAATACTGGCTTGCACAATGCTTTTCACTGCAGAGTTCTGGCTCACCTTCCTCAACCCTGCCTTTGTTTATAAAACCCAAACTAACAAGCACTCTAACCGGCCCATCTCTTCAGAAAGTGACAGGGACGGCCCTGGAGGCCATGGCCACCCCCACCCAGACCCACATAGAAAGTCCACTTACCTCACCAGGGAATCCGCATCCTTCTGGGATGCAAAGGGTGTCAGAACCAGGTACCCTGACGTACACATGAGGCTGAGGGGCTTGTGAATCGTACAGTCTGTTTGAAGGGCACTGGGCAATCCCTGTAGAAATTCACAATACACTTCTCCTCTGACGGAGAAATTCCACTTCTAGGAATTGATCCTACAGAGTATACATGGCCACGTGCCACAGTGCAGATATAATCTACGGCAACATCCTAGAGTTAAAAGCAAAGGTTAGCCAGGAGGGGCCAGGGTAAGTCGGCGTGATGCGATGCTGGACATCATTAAAAAAAATGAGGTGGGTCTGGGAGCTGTTCTGTCTTCAGGACATATTGTGACACCCTGACCCTTCTCAACATTGTAAACAAGCAAAACCCCATGAATCTGACCAGGCTTACAAAATGTACAAAGGCTGTGGTTACTTCCTAGAAAGTGAGGTCAGAGCTACGAAGAATGGCAAAGGGACCCCTTTATTTCTTATCTTACTCTCTCTTGCATTACTCTTCTTTCCACACTTACGATATTGTTTGTAAATCTGGGTAAGGGCTGAGGATGTAGCTCAGGGACCGAGCCATCGTAGCACACGTGAGGCGCTGGATTCGATCCCCAGCCCTGCAAAGAAGGAAAAAATATAAAATGGTGTGTAAAAACGATTTCCTTCTCTACACTCTGAGATCGAGCAAAATAATATGGCCATGCTCTTTTTATTACCTGCTTGTCGGGACAGTGGAGTGGTGGAGGAGGTCTACCCTGCTGATGGCTGTTTCACTCTCGCCCAGTCCACAGGCCCTTAAGTGCCGTGGGTAACAGGTGACTGAATGAATGAGTGACCTCCCCTTGGCTGACAGGAGAGCTACACCGTCCTTCCGGCTCTCTCCTCACTGAGCCCCACCGCAGCTTTTGCTGTGTGCCATATACCTTCGCGACAAGGCACTTGGTATCACGCACCCTTGGGTGTCATCCTGACACACACGGGGTTTCTGGAGCTAAGGTTATGAATCCTTGGGCTGAGCCTCCTCGGTAAACACAGAACATGAGACACGTGGTGGGAGCTGTGTCTGAGCTGGGAAGAACTGGTTGCCACCCTTGGCTGCCATGTCCACCACGGCCACCCTGGACCCCTGCAGCTCTGGGCTGTTGGGAACCCAGTGGGTCTCTGTTCCTAAGACTGCAGCCCTAACTTCTGCGGGGGTGTCAGAGTGTACTCAGAATCCAGCACAAAATGGAGTGGCCAAATAAATCAAGTGTGAGCTCTCAGGAAAGAAGGAATACTACAAACGGCTATTTCTCTAAGTGCTTATAGCCCCCATGTCAGCTGGGGTCATCTTATTTTTGGAGATTCAAATGAAATGGGTTTAAATCTTGCCTCATATGCCATAGTGTTCCTAACTTTCCTTGGGACCTTTCCAGGGATCGAGGGTGAGGGATGTTTATGTCTGTCCCAGTACCCAAGGTTCTAAATTCCTGCGTCTGCTGAATCAGTTCTGCTTGGGCACCTTTTTGCTGGCTGTGGGGCAGAGCTGACCTCATGGACAGAGAAGCTATACCTATATAAAGCCCCTGCTTGATTTAATGCTCTGCCATCTCAAATTTAATTTTTTTTTTTTTTGGTACCAGGGATCGAACTCAGGTGCTTGTGCTTACGAGGCAGGTGGTGGCACCACTGAGCTAAATCCCTGGCCCCAACTTCTTCATTTTTTTAACAGAGTTCCATGTGTTCATTTCACCCAGATTCTGCAAATTATATAGCTAGTCCCGCCTCACTCAGGGGCTGCTCCCCTCACGCACAGTGAGCACTCTGGAGTCTGACCAACTCCTCCATTCCCCTGCAAGAAGGTGGCTGGCTGTAGGCTACTCCAACTGAAGGTCTGGGATAAAAGAAAATGTTGGCCTCTCAGCTGAGACAACATGAAAAGCAGTGCTTGAACTGGCTTAAGATACTCGGTGGGAGACAAAGGGAGAGAAGGTAGAGAGAACAAGATAAGCAGAAAGGTGATGATCGTTGTCCAATCTGGACAATGAGTAGCTGATGCGTTATTACCAAAATTTCTCCACTCTCAAGAATGGAAGGAAATTTCCCAAATACAAAGTTGAAAGAAGTGGTTCCACCAAATGTTCAACATGGAACTGTTGCATGACCCAGCATGTCCATTCTGAGCTATATGCCCAAAAGAAATATATGTCTGCACTAGAACATACATGAATACTCAGCTGCGTTATTCATAATAACCCCAGAGTGGAAACAACCCAGATATCTATCAGTTGCCAAGTGGATAAACAAAATATGATCTGTCCATCCATGTATCGGGCCGATGCTCAGCTTGATGAAAAGAACGAAACCCTCCTACATGCTACAGCATGGCTGGATCTTGGGAATATCACACCGTAAGCAAGGAGCTGGACCCAAAGGACCCAAGGCCGTAAGCAAGGAGCTGGACCCAAAGGACCCAAGGCTGATCGATCCCACTGATAGAAAGTGTTCAGAAAAAGCAAGTTCACAGAGACAGGAAGTAGATCAGTGGTTGCTCAGGGTGGGGGATGATGGAGGAGTGGGGTGGGCAGGTAGATCACTACAGAGCAGGGGGCTTCTTTTTGAGGTGATGAAAACATTCTAAATGTACTGATGATGGCTGTACAATCCTGTTACTCCAAGCCACTGAGTTGTGCCTTCTAAGTGTGAATGCTACACACCTGTAATCCCAGCACTCCAGGAGGCTGAGGCAGGGGGATCACATGCTCAGGCCCAGGCTGAGCAACTTAGTGACTTTGCTAGACCTTGTCTCAAAAATAAATAAATGAACAAAAGAACAAAAATTAAAAGGCAGGGGAAATAGCTCCGTGTGAAGGCCCTGGGCTCAGTCCTCAGTACTGGAAGAAAAAAAAAAAACATGTGAATCACATGTTAAATAAATTACATCTCAATAAAGCTATTTTTAAACATCATGCCCTCTTCCCCACTCTTTGGGCATGCTCCAGCCTCCTACCCTACGGGAGGAATTCTCCCACTCTCTTCTACACACACACTATCTTATGCTTTAAAATTTTAGGGGAAATAGCTCCGTGTGAAGGCCCTGGGCTCAGTCCTCAGTACTGGAAGAAAAAAAAAAACATGTGAATGACATGTTAAATAAATTACATCTCAATAAAGCCATTTTTAAACATCATGCCCCCTTCCCCACTCTCTGGGCATGCTCCAGCCTCCTACCCTACGGGAGGAATTCTCCCACTCTCTTCTACACACACAATCTTATGCTTAGGAATTCTCCCACTCTCTTCTACACACACACTATCTTATGCTTTAAAATTTCTTTCTTTCCTTCCTCCCTTTTCTTTTTCTCCTCTGGTGGTGTTGGGGATCGAGCCAAAGGCCTTCCATGTGCCAACCAGGTGCTCTACCAGATTTACACCCCAGGCCTATTCGTCCTCATCTCAGAGAAGTGCCTTCCACAGCAAGTGCCCCACCGAGGTCTCTTCCTCAACCACAACACTTTCTTTCATCTTTAAAAGCTAATCAGGCCCATGGTGGTATCACCCTGTAACCCTAGCTACACAGCGGACGGAGGCAGAAGGATCAGACGTTCCAGACCAGCCTAAGCATCTTGTCAAGACCTTGTCTCCAAATAAAAATGTTTCAAAAGGCTGGGGACTTCACTCAGTATTCCCTAGGTTCAACTCCAAGTATGGGGATAGAGGGGTAAACAGGGAGCTAGGGGGATAGCTTGATGGTACAAGTCTTAGCAAGTGTGCAAGACCCAGGATTTGATCCCCATCACCACACACAAAATAAAGTGCCTCAACTGACAACTTCTAAAATTACAATTTAAAAACCCCAGGATGTTTTTCAAGAGCAGTCACTAATAGATTAAGTTCCAAGAGTTTCAGAATTTCCTCAAAGCAGGCAGAATCAACTTACCTTCTCCATACCAGCAGCTGTCTGTTCTGACATGTAACTAAGTCATCTCACAGGTGGGGAGAAAAACAGCACCAGGGTCAAGTTCCTGTTGGTCTAACTGAAAAGTAGCCTTTTCGTTTAGAATCAAGGTGGGAAACCTACAGCCTGTAGGCCAAATCTGGCCCACTTTGTGTGTTTTTTTGTTTTGTTTTGAGACAGGGTCTCACTATGTAGTTGAGACTGCTCTGGAACTCCCTATATAGCCCAGGCTGGTCTTGAACTCACAGTGATCCTCCCGCCTCAGCCTCCCAAGTACTGGGATTACAGGTGTGCGCCACCACACCTGGCCCACTTCCTGTTTTTATAAATAAAGTTTTATTGTAACACCGAGCCATAGACATTCATTTGTGTATTGTTTGCAGCTACTTTTGAGTTACAGTTGCAGAGTTGAACAGCCTGCAGCAGAAGACTTTGTAGCCTGCAGAGCCTCAGAGAATTACTCTCTGGCTTGACCCAGGTTTGAACCCCAGCTTGTCACATGCTAGGTATGTGACCTTGGACAACTAAGGTCATCTCTCAAAGCCTGTTTCCTCAGCAGAGCTGGGGCCAGTAGCAGTACCTCTCATGTCTGCTGCTTGTGCAACTGAAATGACTTCATCCATGTCACAAGTGCCTCGTACAAAGAGCTCAATATATAATGATGGATATGATGTTGTTTAGAAAATGAAGATGACAATAACTTCATGGTGTCACCTAAAAGGACGGATCAGGCTTGTGAAAAGGCTGGCAAAGAACCATGTAAGTGTTCCTTATTGTTGTAAATTTTTAAAATACATCTTTGCTTTTAGTAATAGTTATACTTTCAGGTTTTTGAGAGGGTAGATGAATTGTAATTTCAGAGGAAAAAATGATCTCATTTAACAGTTCCAGAAACCATGACCCCTGACCTCCAGCCGGGTCTTGAACCTGCTCAATAGGAGAACCCCAGTCTTCTTTTAGCTATGCTTTCCCTCTTTCCCAGTAACAGGCCTCTGAAATCCACGTCTGTGTGGTCTGGGTTGCCTGTGAACTCTGGAGCAGAAGCTGTTGTTAGAGTTAGCTGGCGCTGGCTTGGGCAAGGGGAGGATCCCAGGAGGCAGTGAATTTCCACAGCCTCTCCGGAGGCCAGTGGGGGAGGCTGGGACTATACCACACCAGCCACTGCTTCCCTGGAAGGGTTGTGGCAGTAGGGGACACAGGAGCCCAGAATCATTGGCCTCAGTTCTGTACTATTAACTGAGCACCTAACACGCTAGGATCTGCAGGTTTGGCAGAAAGGAGCCAAGGCCTCTACATTCAGTCGCCACCTCTGACAGCCTTCTCCTGGGGACACCAGACAGATAAGCATCTGGGTTGTATAGCCTGGATGAGTGTTCATATTCTCCCAGGGGTTTCAGTTCCACTGCAAAGCGCTACAAGGTATAATCAAAAGTATAACAGTGAATGTTTACATTTTTTGTTTGTTTGTGTTTTGATGAATCCCCTTCCAAAAAACTACCCATCCATTCTGCCACTTTCTAAAACAGTTCCGGAAGTGCTCTTTGGTGAGTGTCTTTGTGATGCCGCGGGTGCCACCCGGTGGAAAGGTGGGCTCATCGGCCTCGTGCACTGCACTTGGCACTCCTGGCCCAAAGTCACAAGGACCCTGAAAGTCAAACTTTTTTTTTTTTTTGGTACCGGGGATTGAACTCAGGTCCTCGCGTTTGCCAGGCAGGCGGTGGAACCACTGAGCTAAATCCCTGGCCCTGAAAGTTAAACATTTTTGACCTGATGCAGAACACTGAGATCGGCAGGGCAGCACAACCAAAGACATAAAATCAAGGACCTGC